TTAGGCATCATTTTTGGTGTTAAGAAATTTCACAAGTTTCTGTTTGGTAGGAAGTTCACCATTTTTACAGATCATAAACCATTGCTAGGTTTATTTGGAGAAAACAAAACCCTACCTGAGCATGCCTCACCAAGAATTCAAAGATGGGCTATCACACTAACTGCATACAATTATGAATTGAAATACAAACCTGGATCTGAGAATAGTGCAGATAGTCTTAGTCGATTACCTTTAAAAAACCAAAGCCTTAGCTATGTACCAGAAGATGTATTTGTTCTCTTCACTATCATGGATAACTCCAATATAAATGTGAATGATATTAAAAGAGAAACACAAAAAGATGAGTGCTTAATAAAAGTATATGAGTACTGTAAGAATGGTTGGCCTGAAGAGTCTGTGAATGATGACTTAAGGCCATGTAAAATAAGAAAAATGGAATTAAGTCTAAAAGATGGAGAAGATGCAGTCCATTATCAGTCAAAGTTACCTAAACAAAGTATTTGTAACTTAATAAATGATTATGGTGATATGGCAATTTCAAATGCTTTTAAAAGAGAATACATTAGTAAGAACGAATGTGATCATCAAACAACTTTGCTAACATCATTAGCACTTACAGAAACTAAAAGGGTAACATCAAAAGAAAAAAAGATTTTTGCCATTTAATACACCCACTTCAAATACTGGATCACAGTTGCAAAGTGATATGGTCCAGGATATTACTTTTAAACAGTATTTTTGGTTACTAAAAAGCACTATCAGATTACCTGAGGAAATTGATCAATCAAAGAAATCTATGTCAGTCAAGGATCTGAATAACAGCATAATACTTCCAGATGCCAATTCAAAAATAGGTCCATTAAATCATGACAAAACATGCATTGAAAGAGAATTTGGTGTTAATGATAATGTGTATCTAAGAAATTATGGGAGAAGGGAAAAATGGATACCAGGTCAAATTGCAGACCAGTTAAAAATAACTTGTGCAGATAATAAGTGTGAATCTATCAATCCCACCAATTCTGATCAGTTCACACCAACTCAGTTTGTTCCACAACCAAGTTCTGTTGATATGAGTGAACCAAGTTGTCTAGAGTCAGAAAATGTAAATTCTGGAATTAATGATTTAGATCCTAGACCTCCTGAGATAGAGAATCCATATGGTCAGAATCCTGAGTCACCAAATCAAAAGCCACTGAGAAGGTCAAGCAGGACAATCAAAGTCCCAAATAAGTTAGACCTATGATTTTAAAGGTCAAAAGGACTTTGACATCATTGTTTTGTATTTTAATTATGTTGTAACATATTGTGCATTGTTTGTAAGGATGTAATCTACCATAGTGTTCATGTTACAATATAATTGGTGATTTTAGGATAATGTAAATTGTTCTATGGAGAGATGTGTTTTGTTTACTAAGGGTAAAGGGATGTAATATAGTGAGACTTGTGAAGTCAAGGGAACTCACTCTTCTTGTATTAGTATTATATTTATACTGTTATCTTGAGTGATGTCCCTTATATGTATATATATCTTTGTGTCTCGTCACTTCCGCTCTCTCTTGTTACCATCATGTAGTTGGAGGCCAATAAACGTTTTATATACAATCACATGCTTCTATCGTCAATCTATTACACCTACAAGAGTGGGGACCCCTCTCCCCACACACTAAGTTGGAACAGCATATAACCGACTCATTTATGGAAGTCATAGATACTAATACTATTTCTTATAATAGATAAACTATTAAAAAAATAAGGCCTGCCGAACAAGAGATGCATACGTTGTATTACTTAAGAGTGTTGGATAAGCTAACTCTAAAGAATATTGATGAAGTGGTCCCACTGACAGATGTCATATTCAATGAGCCGGTTTTGCCGGTAGATTTAGTCTCTGCAAAAACCGGATTTTCAGTGGTCCTTTAGTCGGGAGCCAAATTGACGTGAGCCTATTTGTCGTAAGCCAAAATGACAGGAGCCTATTTTTCGGGAGTCGTAATGACTGGGGCCGCTTTGTGGCGAAACTAAATGGCGGGAGCCTGTATGTCGGGAACCTAAATGACGGGAGCCTATTTATCGGGAGCCTCATTGACCGGAGCCCTTTTGTCGGGAGCCTATATAACGGGAGCCTATTTGTCGGTAGCCTAAATGACGGGAGTCTATTTGTCGGTAGCCTATATGACGGGGTCCATATGTCGCTGGCCTTTTTGATTGTTCTCTTATGTCGGGGCCGATTTGTCGGGTCCGTTTTGACGGGGCTGTTTTGTCATTGGCGATTCTTTGGTATTTAGATCAATTAAATTTTTTTCATAAAAAACGTTTTAATAACAAGCTTTTATGTACTAATGCACTAAAAAGTAGAAAATAAATTATAGACTACTATTTAAATCACTGTGGGTCACTTCCTAAATATTAGTAAGGGTATCCAATAGATACTAAAGTGACCCACGCTTTTCTTTATAGTAATTTAAATAGTAGTGATAAATTTATTTTCTACTTTTTAGTGCATTATTACATAAAAGCTTGTAGTAAATTACTACTTCCGGCCAACGGAAAGTACTCAAAATTTGAAAGATGGTAGAGGATAAGATCTTTTACTTACATGTGAAATTACATTTATCTATCTGAAATAGTACTCAAGTTATAGGCTTTTGAAAAATTCATAAAAAGTACCACTTCTGGTTATCGGAAATTGCTCAAAAGTTGATACGGATCTACCTTTTTGATAAAATACTTATATATGACATTTCATCAACAAGCTGTAACGGTACTAAAGCTATCGTGTTTACAGACACACAGACACACAGACACACAGACACACATACACACAGACATACGGACAAGATTGCAAAAATATGTTTTTCCGACTCCGGGAGGTGTAAAACGTTGAGATTTGTAAAAATCTCTTTTTTTTTTGCACGATTACAAGCCTTTCTCTATACTTCGTATATACGAGAATGTAAAAAACGAGATTTTTGCAAACTAAGATAACCTGTATATAGAGAAAAATCGCACCTTCCCGTGGCGCCGCCCTTGCGAAATAAAAAATTATTTTGCAGAACCTTTCCCTGGAGTGTTCTAATCAACTCCCCAAAGTTTGATGGCGATCGGATGTAAGGCGTGAAACCGCAATCGACTATTATTTTTATATAGTGTAAAAAGAAAAAAAAAACAAATTGCACCCTGCAGAGGCGCCACCCCTGCAAATTTGACATATTTTTTTTCCGCAGAAACCTCCCCAGGAATATTCTCAACAACTTCCCAAAGTTTCACGGCGATGTGATGAGAGTTATAATAATGCATAAAAGACAAACAGACACACACACGCAGAAATACATTGCTTTATATATATATAAATATACTAGCGTACCCGTCCCCGCGCGTTGCCGCGGGAATAGAAGATAGTCCGACGAAATATATAAGAAGGGATTTATCCATGCGTTACCAATCCTATATTCTTAGACTAGTGACCTTGTTTTCCAAAAGTTAGTTATTTAAATGTAAACAATGCCTGCGCTTGGATCATAAATATCGGGACACGGGTTTACCTACACTACCGCGGGAAAACCTTATGTGTACATTAATCACTCACCGAAATAATGAGATAGAACACACTTCGGTGACCACCCATGTGTCAGGGACGTAGAGTGCGCTCTCAGGAGCCTCCCCCCCCCCCGATTTCACACTGTTAAAAGTATATATTTTCTATATAAATTCCATTTCGTTCGGGTGGGGGGGGGGGGGGGGGCGAAAAGATGCCTGGAAGATACTCTGGTACTATGCCTAGCCGATTTTGTTTTCGTAACGTGAATTAGGCACATATTCTCAGGGGCAATCTACTGATATGATCCCGGATTCAGAGTTTCTTCCAGGCATCTCTTCGGGGGGGGGGGGGGGGCAAGTCATCGTCGTCGTCCCCCGAAAAAATTCTACCACCCCGACCCCCCCCCCCCCCCCCCGCCCGAACGAAATGAATCTATATATATAATTCTCTTCTGGGAGACGCTAGAAAACAAGCTGTAAGCGCGCTCCCTAAAACCCCCACCCCTACATGGTCTGGTGAGCTGTGGTTCACAAATGTTTACAAGCAGAGCCGGGTTTAGTGACGACTATTAGGGGAAGATAATTTAGTTTGAAACGATTTTAAACATAGGGGGGGAGTAACTAAGTGGAGTTTACTGTAACGGAGGGGGGGGGGGGGTAAGGAGCGTTGGTACTGTCGAATTCACAAATTATGAATTACTGAAAAGTAGAAAAAACAACAACTAAAAGCGGCGTATGATATGACGCGGGTCGGCTCGTTTTATATAATTTATATAGAAAATATATACTGTTAACAGTGTCCGCCATCCCATAATACTTTATGTAATAAAAAGCAAAAAAAAAAACTCTGTAAATATATAATAATGATCTACTATTTAAATAATTAAAATAACCAAATGTTTCATTAATTTAAAAACCATTTAAATTTTCTTATATAAAGTAGTAATAGCTTTTTCACCGCGTAGAGTTGGTAGTAACGCGCTTTTGAAGTCACTCGGTGCGTTCAATAGACGCACCGATAGGTGCGTTCAATAGACGCACCGATACAGTCGCACCCATTTGATTCAATCTAATAGGCTAGGATTAAAAATATTAAATACGTCACTTTCTTTCCTATTACGTCATCAGCAAGTCAACGACAACAAACAGTCGGACATTTTGTGATAATTGCATGATGAGTTGAATATTTCGAATGAAATAAATTCTAATATAGAACAAGTTACAAATCAGCTGGCTTAGTGGGTTGCAAGCATTAATCTCTATGTTGTAGAAGTTAGTAAGCTTCATACAAACATCTGCATCTAGTCTTTCGGTTTCGATTTCCGAGACCGATTTATAACTGATATGAATGCAAATACATCAAGTGATTTTATTTGTAATGGCGGAAGAATATAAAGATATATTGGTAAACTCTTTAATTAAAAGATTTGGGGTGGACATATTGATATAGATTCTATAGCCGAGTGTGCATACTGTTTAAAATAATTTAGCAACCGTGCATTTTCTTGAAAGCATTGAACCTCTTTACCCCAGTAGTATTTTTTATGAGGAATGAACACATTAAAATGAGCAAAAAAGGTAATGAAACATGTACTCAGCGTAAAAGAAGGTTGGAGAAACAAAGAAAAAAACACCAAGAACGGGTTTCAAAAGAGAACAAAGAAGAAAAAGATAAACGACTTGTGAAGCGAAGGAAACGGTTCGTAGAAGAAGGCTTCGAAGAACGTGAATTGCGGTTGATAAGGGATCGTGACCAACATGTAGAAAGGAGGGAAAAAGAAACAATGGAGGAACGGAAATTGCGGTTGATAAGGGAGCATAACCAACATGTAGAAAGGAGGGAAAAAGAAACGATGGAAGAACGTGAATTGCGGTTGATAAGGGATCGTGACCAACATGTAGAAAGGAGGGAAAAAGAAACGATGGAAGAACGTGAATTGCGGTTGATAAGGGATCGTGACCAACATGTAGAAAGGAGGGAAAAAGAAACAATGGAAGAACGTGAATTGCGGTTGATAAGGGATCGTGACCAACATGTAGAAAGGAAGGAAAAAGAAACAATGGAGGAACGTGAATTGCGGTTGATAAGGGAGCATAACCAACACGTAGAAAGGAGGGAAAAAGAAACAATGGAGGAACGTGAATCTCGCTTGATAAGAGATCGTTCTTTACATTCACAGAAATTAAAAGCGTCTAACTCTGAACTGACAGCCTTTTATCACGCAATCAACTCTGTAAGTAATCAAAGTTGTGAAGTGTGCACAAAACTATGCTACCCGAGTCAAATTCACACATCTCAGTGTAGTCAAGCTGCATTGTCGTACCTTCCAGTTGAGTTGTTAGCGAAGCAGGTATTGAGGATGTGTTACCGTTGCCACGCCCATGTTACTAGTAAAAAAATAGTTGGACCTTCTAAAGCCTATTGGAATAATTTGGATCCAGGTAAAATCCCACACCCTTTTGAAAAGTTAACTCAGTCTGAACAAAGGTTGCTCGCAAGAGTCATACCATTTGTTAAAATAATAAAATACAATGGAATATTCGGACAGTATGGTTTTAATGGACAGGCAGTGCTATTTGCCCAAGATATATTCGAGGTGACTGAAAAACTACCGAAGATGCTTCCGAGGTCGATGGACAAAATGGGACTCGTGGTGGTGACGGAAAGTCTCGAAAATTTAAACATTACTCGTGAGTTCTCCATCTCTCGCAGCAGGGTTTTTGACGCACTTGACTGGTTAGTTGCTAATAATCCACCGTACAAAGACGTCATCATAGATCAGGATGCAGAACTTAATGAGCAGCATCTGATTCGTGTCAAAGAAGATCAAGGACAGAACCAGATGCCGCTAATGGAGAACACAGAAATTGTAAGTTTTTACATGCCTATAAACGATGTATCAAGAATCGTCCGAGCTTCGTGGCATCAAGCAAATCCTGATGTTTTTACATCAGGTTTTGCTGGCCTTCAGTGCTGTGCAATGGTTTTGGCTAATGTCGTCAGAGCTAAAATATTGGCGCCAAACAGATGGACGACCAACATATTAAACAGCAACATGATCGAGGGTGATGCTATGTATGCTATGATACGGTCTCTAACCCACCCAAGCGCAGAACACCCAATAGATGAAAGTGGATATTTAGAGGTGTCAAATTTCATAGTAATCAAGAACAAATTTACTATTTTTAAAAAAACATTTTCCATCACATATGATGACAATACACCATTTTACGGAGTTCTGCGGGATGAAGTAAATCTAAAAAATGGAGTAGGCATGGCATTGAGAACAGCTCTTAATGAAATGTTCCGTCAACATCAAGCTGGCATTCTAATTGCTAACTCAAAATCGCTTGGGGTTATGCAATATGAAGGCAAATATTATTTCACCGATTCCCATTCATGTGGTCCAAAAGGCGCAAGCGCTGATAACGGCAGAGCATGCATTATTGAGTGCGATTCAATAGAGGAACTACATCGGATTTGTAAAAGAGCAACTGGGTCAAAAAATATGCAATATACAATCAATTTTATTGATGTGTATTTAATAAATGACGCTAACAAAAATGACACACATCAACAGTTACAACCAGAAGTGGTTACATCCCTCGATCATGTCAGTCACATGTCAGCAGAATCTTCAATGGATACTGAACATGTACATTCAATACCCGTGGAGACATCTGTCATGGCACCAATCAACTGTAACCAGCCAGACGTAGATGAAGAATTTGAAGTCTCAAATAATATTAATCAAATAGTTCGCAAAACTAATGATAATATTGTTAATCACACTCACGAATTGAAAGCTGAGGAGCTTGCCTGGTTCTTTCTTTTTCCTTATGGAATTAATGGATTCAAACAAGATAGGCAAGTTAGAATAACACCTCTGGACTATTACCAATACAGAATTATGGGAAGTGACACAAGGTTTCAACGAAACGATTATCTTTTTTATGCACTGTCTATGTATGAATATTATAAGGTGAAGGCTTCCATTTCTGCATGTGGAAAACTGGTTCAAGGGCAAGATGGTCAGGTCGAAGATATTCATTTGTATCTGAAAAATGTTCGTGGAACCGCAGCCTATTGGCAAACGGCACTTAATGAACTGATTGGACAAATACGATGTCTGGGCCCACCTACGTATTTTGTAACGCTGAGCTGTAATGATTTACACTGGCTTGACATGCGCAAAGCTTTGTTAGTGGCTGACGGAAGACCGGATGAGAATCCGAACAATTTGACCACATATGAAACACAGCGATTGATTGAACAATTTCCTGTTGTAGTTAGTCGGCATTTTATGATACGACTCAACGCTCTAATGAAATTTGTAAAGAACAACCAAGAGGTGTTTGGAGGTCATTTGAAGGATTACTGGTGGCGAATCGAGTTTCAAAACCGTGGTAGTCCCCACTTACATATGTTAGTGTGGATTGAAAACCATCCCTCTTTCGATACGCCAGAGGGAATCGCAATTTTGGATCAAATATGTAAGTGTGAGATCCCATTAGAAAGTTCTGATTTGTATGAACTTGTCAAAAAATGTCAAATTCACCGTCATACAAGCACCTGCAAGAAAGGGGATAATCCTTCACTAGTGTGTCGGTTTCGTTTTCCAAGACCAGTTCAGGCTGCAACTGCTATGATTGCAGAAACATCTGATGAATTCATTCGAAATGGCGGAAGAATATGCTTGTTAAAAAGAGGACAGGATGATATATGGGTAAACAGTTACAATCCTACTCTTTTAAAGATTTGGGGTGCAAATATGGATATTCAACCGTGTGGATCTAATGAGTCTATTGCATACTATATAGCGAAGTACATAGCCAAATCAGAGCCTACGGAGCTAGCCCTTGCCATCAGACAAGCAATTCAAGAAATCCAGAGGGAAGATTCAGATGTGTCTCGAAAACTGTTCAAGATTTGCATGAGAATAATGAACGAACGGCAAGTTTCTGCCTGTGAATGTGTGTACAGATTATGCCACCTCACTGTCAGAGACAGCTCACGCAAATGTATTTTCTTGAATACTCGACAGCCACAACAAAGGTACAGAGTACTTAAATTTCACGAGTCTGGCCAATCAACTGGATATTGTGCCAATATTTTTGATCGCTATGAAAAAAGACCTCTGGAACACGCAGACTACAATTTCAACCAAATGTGCTTGATTGAGTTCGCAATGCTATTTGAGCCCTACTATGCAAAGCAACAAGATGCTATGACATTAAATATTGACGAGGATGCATATGAAACCGAACAGCGCACTAAAAGGAGGTTAATTACTCTTATAGACGGTAGCAAAATGACCATAAGAAAATTGCCAGCTGTTGTAAGAGTACCTTACTTTGTAGCCTCGACAGATGGTGAAAATTACTTTTATAGCCTTCTACTCCAGTACACTCCCTACCGCAGAGAAGAAGAGCTACTGAATGATTTCGCCACAGCGAGAGAAGCATTTTTGGCTAACGAAGAAAATCTAAAAGTAACAAATGCACATATGGAGTTGTATCGCGAACGTGACAAGCAATTGGAGAATGCTTTTAACCAAGTTCACGCGCTTCAAATTCTTGAAGAAGCAACACCAGCTCATCTGGAAGATGACTGTGTAGAAGAGGCCCACGATATACCAGTTGATGAGGAAAAGTTCAGCTCGGCACAAAAAGCAATGAACGTAGACCAGCGACATTTGTTTCGAAAGGTGACCGAAAGTGTCCTTAAACAACTAGATGGAGGCAGTGAAAGGCTGAAACTCTTTATTACTGGTGGAGCTGGTGTTGGCAAAACATTTATCCTGAGCCTGCTCAGAGTTCAGATCAATCGATGCTTTGCGAAAAATGCCGTCATCGTCTCGGCTCTAACTGGGGTCGCAGCCCGATTAATTGGTGGCTCAACTCTCCATAGCACACTGAAACTCCCGGTTCAAAGAGACGGTCGGAGTGCCAACATGTGTCCTTTGACAGGAAATTACCTCAGAGTAATGCGTACACAATGGAAAAATGTCGAGTGTATCATAATAGATGAGATATCGATGGTATCCTATCAGATGCTTTGTATGATCGACATGCGCATCCGTCAGCTGAAGAATAATTACGATGAGTTTTTCGGAGGCATTAATGTACTGCTGTTTGGTGACCTAATGCAGCTGCCACCAATCAGACAGGGTGTTAATACACCTGTTTATAAACAGCCCGACTATCTTCAACCATCCACCCATTTATGGCGACTATTTTCCCTGTGTGAACTATCGCAAAACACGAGGCAGCAAGGAGATGATACCTTTAGAAACTTGTTGAATGCGTTGAGGGTTGGTGAGATGAGCGCTGAACATTTTGCTACCCTGACTGACAAGCTTATAGAAAACAAACCAACAGGAGACTTCGGCATTGATAAAGCTTTGCGCATATACCCAACAAATGAGCAAGTCAATACGCACAATGAAATTGTGCTGCAGTATTTTAGATCTATTAACACCGATATAATTAGGATAAAAGCCCAGGACCAGTTGATTGATGCCACAAGAAACACAGATAATGTTGACATACATACACTATTTCCCACAGACATCAATAAAACGGGTGGCCTACCAAGAACAATTGAGATTTTTGTTGGAGCAAAGGTCATGCTTCGATCGAACATTGACGTGTCGAAGGGATTAGTAAATGGCGCTATTGGGTATATTACAGATATTATATGGCCACATTTTCGCCGTGCCCAAATTTATGACACAGACATACCTTCAGTAAGAATTGATTTCGGCAAAGATGGTGTACATGAAGTTAAGCCAAAATCAGTGCAATTTTCTGCCAAGTACAACTACGGAACTGCTGAGAGAAGAATGTTACCCTTAATACTGTCATGGGCATCAACTGTACACAAAATGCAAGGATGTACAGTAGATCACGCTGTCGTGTATTTGGGGCCGAAGCTGTTTGAAGCAGGGCAAGCTTATGTGGCACTGAGTAGGGTTCGCTCATTGGACGGCCTTCGTATAGAAGAACTGGACTGCAGAAAACTGACAGGAAAGACACCCTGCAACAACGAAGCTTTATCCGAGCTAAATAGACTGAAGAACACTTTAAGTCAACTCAAACTTTAGCTATAAACTTGACCACAGACTAAACAGTATTAATGTCTTCAGTTAAAGAAGTGTTAACGATTTGTGTTTTAAGATATGTGTTCAGCTAATTGTGGCAATTTTTTAAAAGTAACAAAAAAATCAGTAAATGTGACACGTATAGTAAAACTAATCATATTATTAAAGCAAAACTGTTTTTCAAATAGTGTATCATATATTTGTTGCTTCCTTATATTGTCTTAACATGCGTATAACACGTTAATACTAAAAAGTATAAAAATAATAAATACATAAAAACGTTTATAATTACAAGCTTTTATAAATGCACTAAAAAGAAGAAAATAATACAATTTTTATTAAATATAAATAATTTTTAAAAATATAATAAATCTGCGGTTACTTTAAATATAAAATTACTTTCTTTAAATATATTAATGCACTACTATTTATATCACTATAAATAAAAGCGTGGGTCGCTATAATAATAAGTATTTATACAATGAAATATGTAGGCCCGTCTGTAAATATAAAAGCACTACATAAATATTTAATGTGCACTAAGTAATAAATAATAAATAAATAAAATAAATAAACACACCAATACTGAAATACTGATATAAATTAAAAGGGTATAATGTTAATCAGTGGTACGTACTTGTGTAGATTGATGCATGCTTCATCTTTCCTAAATCCACAGTTTGAATATATATATATATATATATATATATATATATATATATATATATATATATATATATATATATATATATATAAATATATATATATATATATATATATATATATATATATATATATATATATATATATATATATATATATTTAAACACAAAATGCCACATACACCAATGGTATTTATATTGATTTGCAACTGATTACGCCCACTAAAACATTATAGCGACCCACGCTTTTATTTATAGTGATATAAATAGTAGTGCATTAATATATTTAAAGAAAGTAATTTTATATTTAAAGTAACCGCAGATTTTTTATATTTTTAAAAATTATTTATATTTAATAAAAATTGTATTATTTTCTTCTTTTTAGTGCATTTATAAAAGCTTGTAATTATAAACGTTTTTATGTATTTATTATTCATCTTTTGCAAGGTGACGAAACTGTACCGAAGGATTTCCTCGCGTTACAAAGTTATGCTTAGAAGCCTGTTGTAGCTTTACCGCTGAATATAGTAGTACCCCTTACTCGCTATGCAGGACGCTCCATTAACGGATGCCAAGTGCCAACATAGTCGCTCTAAAACTTTGGGCGCCAAACCGTGTATTGACGAAAATTGTGCACTAAATGGCGCCGCCCATAAGAAACTTTAGTTTTCTTTTTCGCAGAAATATTCTCGGGAGTATTCTCATCTACTCCCTAAAGTTTCATGGCACTCGGATGAACCGCATCCGAGTTTTATTGTTTATATACCGTGTATAGAGAAAAAAAACGCTCTCCCCTGGGGCGCCGCCCTTGCAATATTAAAAAATATTTTTTTTGCAGAACCCTACCATTGAATGATCTAATCATCTCCCCAAAGTTTCATGGTACACGGATGAACGGTGTGAAACGGAAATAGACATATATTTTTATAAACCGTATATAGAGAAAAATCGCACCCTCCCGTGGCGCCGCCCTTGCGAAATTAAAAAAGGTGTTTGTTTTACAGAAACCTTCCCTGGAGTGTTCTAATCAACTCCCCAAAGTTGGATGGCGATCGGATGAACGCCGTGAAACCGCAATCGACGTTTATTTTTATATACCATATATAGAGAAAATCGCACCTTCCTGTGGCGACGCCCTTGCAAAATTAAAAATCATTTTTGACGGAACCCTTCCCGGAGTGTTCTAATCAAGTCCCCAAGGTCTCATGGCTATCGGATGAACGATGCCAAACCAAAATCGACTTTTATTTGTATATACCATATATAGAGAAAACTCGCATCCTCCCGTGGCGCCGCCCTTGCGAAATAAAAAATTATTTATTTACAGAACAATTCCCTAGAGTGTTATAATTAACTCCCCAAAGTTTCATGGCTATCGGATGAACGCCGTGAAATCGCAATCGACGTTTATTTTTATATACCGTATATTGAGAAAAATTGCACCCTCCCGTGGCGCCGCCCTTGCGTAATTAAAAATGATTTTTTACAGAACCCTTCCTTAGAGTTTCATAATGAACTCCAAAAGTTTCATGCTTATCGAATGAACAGTGTCACTGCAATTCACTTTTATTATTTTTTATATACCCTATATAGATAAAAATCGGACCCTCCCGTGGCGCCGCCCTTGCGAAATTAAAAATTATTTGTTTACAGAACCTTCCCTGGAGTGGTATAATGGACTCCACAAAGTCTCATGGCTATCGGATGAAAGATGCCTAACCAAAATTTACTTTTATTTTTTTATATACCGTATATAGAGAAATAACAAATCGCGCCCTGCCGGGGCGCCACCCCTGCGGATTTGAATTTTTTTTCCGCAGAAACCTACCCAGGAATATTCTTAACAACTTCCCAAAGTTCGACGCTGATGTGATAAGAGGTGTGGTAATGCATAAAAGACACACAGACAGACACACAGACACATACATTGCTTTTTATATAGATAGATAGATAGATAGATAGATAGATAGATAGATAGATAGATAGATAGATAGATAGATAGATAGATAGATAGATAGATAGATAGATAGATAGATAGATAGATAGATAGATAGATAGATAGATAGATAGATAGATAGATAGATAGATAGATAGATAGATAGATAGATAGATAGATAGATAGATAGATAGATAGATAGATAGATAGATAGATAGATAGATAGATAGATAGATAGATAGATAGATAGATAGATAGATAGATAGATAGATAGATAGATAGATAGATAGATAGATAGATAGATAGATAGATAGATAGATAGATAGATAGATAGATAGATAGATAGATAGATAGATAGATAGATAGATAGATAGATAGATAGATAGATAGATAGATAGATAGATAGATAGATAGATAGATAGATAGATAGATAGATAGATAGATAGATAGATAGATAGATAGATAGATAGATAGATAGATAGATAGATAGATAGATAGATAGATAGATAGATAGATAGATAGATAGATAGATAGATAGATAGATAGATAGATAGATAGATAGATAGATAGATAGATAGATAGATAGATAGATAGATAGATAGATAGATAGATAGATAGATAGATAGATAGATAGATAGATAGATAGATAGATAGATAGATAGATAGATAGATAGATAGATAGATAGATAGATAGATAGATAGATAGATAGATAGATAGATAGATAGATAGATAGATAGATAGATAGATAGATAGATAGATAGATAGATAGATAGATAGATAGATAGATAGATAGATAGATAGATAGATAGATAGATAGATAGATAGATAGATAGATAGATAGATAGATAGATAGATAGATAGATAGATAGATAGATAGATAGATAGATAGATAGATAGATAGATAGATAGATAGATAGATAGATAGATAGATAGATAGATAGATAGATAGATAGATAGATAGATAGATAGATAGATAGATAGATAGATAGATAGATAGATAGATAGATAGATAGATAGATAGATAGATAGATAGATAGATAGATAGATAGATAGATAGATAGATAGATAGATAGATAGATAGATAGATAGATAGATAGATAGATAGATAGATAGATAGATAGATAGATAGATAGATAGATAGATAGATAGATAGATAGATAGATAGATAGATAGATAGATAGATAGATAGATAGATAGATAGATAGATAGATAGATAGATAGATAGATAGATAGATAGATAGATAGATAGATAGATAGATAGATAGATAGATAGATAGATAGATAGATAGATAGATAGATAGATAGATAGATAGATAGATAGATAGATAGATAGATAGATAGATAGATAGATAGATAGATAGATAGATAGATAGATAGATAGATAGATAGATAGATAGATAGATAGATAGATAGATAGATAGATAGATAGATAGATAGATAGATAGATAGATAGATAGATAGATAGATAGATAGATAGATAGATAGATAGATAGATAGATAGATAGATAGATAGATAGATAGATAGATAGATAGATAGATAGATAGATAGATAGATAGATAGATAGATAGATAGATAGATAGATAGATAGATAGATAGATAGATAGATAGATAGATAGATAGATAGATAGATAGATAGATAGATAGATAGATAGATAGATAGATAGATAGATATAGATAGATAGATAGATAGATAGATAGATAGATAGATAGATAGATAGATAGATAGATAGATAGATAGATAGATAGATAGATAGATAGATAGATAGATAGATAGATAGATAGATAGATAGATAGATAGATAGATAGATAGATAGATAGATAGATAGATAGATAGATAGATAGATAGATAGATAGATAGATAGATAGATAGATAGATAGATAGATAGATAGATAGATAGATAGATAGATAGATAGATAGATAGATAGATAGATAGATAGATAGATAGATAGATAGATAGATAGATAGATAGATAGATAGATAGATAGATAGATAGATAGATAGATAGATAGATAGATAGATAGATAGATAGATAGATAGATAGATAGATAGATAGATAGATAGATAGATAGATAGATAGATAGATAGATAGATAGATAGATAGATAGATAGATAGATAGATAGATAGATAGATAGATAGATAGATAGATAGATAGATAGATAGATAGATAGATAGATAGATAGATAGATAGATAGATAGATAGATAGATAGATAGATAGATAGATAGATAGATAGATAGATAGATAGATAGATAGATAGATAGATAGATAGATAGATAGATAGATAGATAGATAGATAGATAGATAGATAGATAGATAGATAGATAGATAGATAGATAGATAGATAGATAGATAGATAGATAGATAGATAGATAGATAGATAGATAGATAGATAGATAGATAGATAGATAG